AATAATCTGAGGTGAAGAAAGTAATTAAGGCGTGAGTTAGCAAATAAAACAGGACCCCAACCCATTATAACAAGTTCTAACTTAAATTACCTAATTAAATAAATAATAACAAAAGCAAAATAAAATAAATAAATAAACAAAAGAACACAGCCTGAGTCGCTGCATCATGAGGGATGTACTCTTGGATTTTCATAATTTTCTCCTAACCTATCAAATGCAGACACGAGGCTAGGCTTTTAAAAAAAAGAATTAAAACAAAATACTAAGTACCAGTAAACGTGATAAAAGGCAGAATCCTAATAATCTCTCATCTCTCTTTCTTACCAAAGCCAAACAACTGAAAAAACTTCATCTTTCTCTGTTTCTACTTATTCATCAAGTTTTACAAAAAAAAAAAAAAAACAAGAATAATTACACATATCAAAGAGCATACAGGTATTACCGTTGGGTTGAGCGAAGGCAAATTAGGTTGTGGTTGCGGCGGCTAGAAGCAGGTATTCGGATCTTTCACGGCGGCGGACGGAGAGCACATCGAAGGGAGTCGCAAATGGTGTAAACGCGGTGAAAATGTCGTTGGATTTTGAACGGAAGGTTGGAGGTCGACGCGGTGTTGGTGTATTGTTGGTGTTCTGTTCGCCGCCGGCGTGTGTAGTGGTACACACGGAGTTTGCTCACGAACGGAGGCAGTGACGTCGGAGCAACGGAGGAATCGTGATCAGAGACTTTTCTTTCTTCTATTTCTGCCACTGTGATGATACGTTGTGATGGTGAATGTGGTGATATGTTTAAGATTGGTGTTATTTGAGAATGAACTTGCAGTGCTTGCAACACCAGTGAATTGCTTTTGCCAAAAGAATGACAGAAATGGTTGATCTTCCAGAATAAAAGATCCATGCTCCAAACTTATTTTGTGAGAAAAAAACAAGGTTGAATAAATAGCAAATGACTTTTCTTGTTGCAATATACAAAGTGCTTTTATGTAGTGATTTATGTTACTGGAAAAAAAAATAGTAATTAAATAATAAAAAAAGTGATTTTGAAAATGAAAATAAGTTAGTAATAATTTTGCCGTCTCATTTAATCCAAATAAAAAGGCATTTGAAAGTATTTGGGGTGGAAAAATATTTACTATTTAAGAAATACAAATAATTTAAGATTAACTATTATATATTTTTAAATAAGTAAAATAAATTGAAAATGAATTTTTATAAAACCTAAAATATTAGTGTAAATAAATCAAAGAAATTTATAAAAAGTAATTTTAAAAATCATTTGATTGTAGAAAATAAGACGGTCAAATTTGGGGTATGACCCAAGAGGGACAAGTCAACCCCATGGGATGGAAAGACGAAGATTATGATGATGCCTGAGTTGAGCACTCTGGCAAGGATTTTAGCTTATTTAGCCGAAAACAGGTTAAAATCGGCCTTATAAGCTGATCAATTGCAAAACATGGCTCCTTAAGTCATCTTTGTCGAACAAAAAAGTGGCCAAAACAGTCGACCATCAGCTTCAGAAAGTCGGAGGCTCGATTGTATCTAAAATGAAGAGCCCTTGGGGATGAAACAAACCCAATAAATTTTACTTATAAAATGCAAGCACAAGATCCTTTGGAGGAAGTCGATTTAGTAGATGGGATGATTAAACGTCTTACCTATGTGAGCGCCAAAATTGACCAAAAATTGAAGAGCAAGGTGGTGAAGGTTCTCAAAGAGTTCAAAGATTATTTCGCTTGGGATTATATTGAGATGCCAAGGGTGAGTCAAGAGATGGTGGAAATAAGGTTGCCAATTCGTCTGGGAAAAAGGCCAGTGAAACAGATGCCGAGATGGTTCACCCCATAAATACTACAAAGATAAAGACAGAGATCGAGCGACTGCTAAGGAGCAAGTTCATCAGAACTACCAGAAGATTTTCTAGGTTTTGTTGTGCATAAAAAAGGCATTGAGATAAATCATAAAAAGACAAAAACGATCCTAAATACACAGGCGCCAGCAACTAAGAAGCATATGCATCCGCTCTTGGGAAAAATAAACTTTCTCTGGCGTTTCATATCAAACTTGAGTGGCAACACGTTGGCATTTTCACTAATACTTTGACATTGGAAAGAAAAAGAGTTTCGATGGGGTAGAGAACACCAGGAGGCATTCGACAATATAAATGAATGTTTAATCAATCCTCCCATTTTGTTTCCTCCCATCAGAAACAAATGTATGAAGCTGTATATTTCAATGTCAAATTCAACACTAGACAGTATGTTAGCCCAAGAGGATGAAGGTGGCGTCGAAAGATCAACTTATTACCTCAGTCGTGTCATGAATGATGCTGAAACTAGGTATAATGCTATAGAAAAATTATGTCTTTATTTGTACTTATCATGTAATAAACTTAAGCATTATAAAAAACCAGTCGACGTTTCTATGTATTCTCATTTTGATGTTGTTAAACACATGTTGTCGAAACCAATTCTACATAGTCGTATTGGTAAATGAGCATTAGCCTTAAATGAATACCGCTTACTTACGTTTCTTTAAAGGTCGTGAAGGGTCAAATCGTTGCTAACTTCATTGTCGACCATTCAATGGTCGAGATGAATGAATGTTACGTTAGTACAAGGCCTTGGCAATTATACTTTGATGGATCCAAACATAAGTATAGGGCTGGAGTAGATATCTTCATTATGTCGCCAGAGGAAGTTCCTAGCCGTTTTAAGTTTAAAATCAAAGGAGAATGTTCTAACAATAAAGTAGAATATGAAGCCCTAATAACAAGACTTCAAATTTTATTAGAACTGGGAGCAAAAGATGTGGAAATAAAAGGTGATTCTGATTTGGTCGTACGACAAATGAAGAGGGAATATAAATGCATCAAAGAGAACTTAATGGTGTACTTCGCCACTGCATTATCATTATTAACTAAGTTTGATAATGTGTCGATAAGTCATGTTTGTCGCATAGAAAACCAAGAGGCTAATGAATTAGCCCAAGTAGCCTAAGGGTATAGAACTGTAAGAGAAAAATTATAAGAATTAATAGAAATAAAAGATAAATTGATGTCTAAAACCTTTCACCTGGAGAAGCGTCAACCTCAAAATTGGGGGGCAAGAGTAGAAGTGACCCCAAATTTATAAAAATTTGATTACTTCAGAAATTTTGAAATTTTGGAACTTTTTGCCATTGAAGCTTTAGCAGACATCGATTAGAGAAAACCCATAGTCGATTATCTAAATACCCCAATAGGATCGACAAATCGCAAGGTGAAATACAGGGAGTTAAGTTAGAGTCATGGGGAACGAGTTGTTTAAGAAAACCCCTAAAGGAATCTTGTTGAAGTGTTTAGGGGGGGGGGGGGGGGACGAAGCATATGTGGTAGTATCAGAGGCGCACAACGGTTCATGTGGAGCCATCAAGCAAGCCAAAAAATGAAATGGTTACTCTGTCGAATGGGAGTATATTGGTCAACTATGTTAAATAATTGCATAGAATTCGCCAGAGGGTGTCAAGAATGCTTGAAACACTTAAAAATTTAGCATGTACCCGCAAGCAAATTACATTATATTGTGAAACCTTGGCCTTTCAGAGGATGGGCCTTGGATATAATAGGGGAAATGAAACCCACATCATTAAAAGGAAACAAGTACATTTTGGTGGGAATAGATTATTTCACCAAATGGGTAGAAGTTGTGGCATTAACCAACATCGACCAAGAGGGAGTGATAAGTTTCATACAAAACCACATCATGCACAAATTCTGGGTACCCAAAACTATCACATCTAACCAAGGGACTCTGTTCACTGAGAGAAAGATGATGGAGTTCGATGCAGACACAAGCTTCAAAATATTGACATCGACACCATATTATGCTCAAGTTAATGGTCAGGTCGAAGCGGCTAACAAAATAATAATTGGTTTGATTAAGAAGCATATTGGGCAAAAGCAAAGAAATTGGCACAAAACTTTGAGCCAAGTCTTATGGGCATGTCGAAACTCACCCAAAGAATCCACAAATACAACACCATTCAGACCAGTGTATGGACATGATGTAGTATTATTGTTGGAGATACACATGCAGTCAGTAAGAATCTAGAGGCGGGCAAAAATACCAACTAAATTTTACTAGGGAATGATGTTCGACACGTTGATTGATATCGACGAAGAGAGGTTGGCCACGTTAGATGTACTACTTAGGAAAAAAGAGCAAGTGGCCAAAGCGTATAAAAAAGTAAAATACAAGTCATTCGTTTTGGGAGACTTGGTTTGGAAAGTGTCATACCCCAAATTTACCCTACCTTTAATTATATTTAAGTGTTCTTTAAATAAATCGTATTATTTGTTTTCACTTTTATAGTGATACTTAAAATCAGAGAAGGGTGTAACAATTTAAAATGGACCATCAATATCTGATGGCCCATTAAGCTCTAATAAAAGTCCAGTCCAAATTGAGGGAGGTGTATTTGTTTCAAAGGGGCTATGAACAAATCATAAGGCCCTTTTAAATTAATGAGTGCATAAAATATTTTATTTTGTTTTAAGCCCAATATTTAAGTAACAGTGGCCCATTTCAATTTTTTGAGTTTGTTTGAAAAAATGTTTTATTAATAACATTATTATTATTATTACTATTATTTCATTATAATTAATTAATTAATATTATTATTATGATTATTTATTATAATTAGTATTATTATATTAATATTAACATCATTTTTATTGAGGTCGTTTTTTAAAAAAAAAACATTGGACTAAAAGGTCAGGAACTAAAAAAAATAAAACAAGCAGGCCTTTCAACAAACTTGCAGGTCCAAAACGATCATTACAAGCCCAAAATAAATAAATAAATGACATGGCCCATTGATGTGAAAGAAATTGCATATTTTACTAAACATTGTCATTAACCAATGTCACAATATTATAGAAGTTTTTCTTAGACAAACTGTTTTATTAAAATTGGATTACTATAGAGTCATCACTTGGGTTGCAGGCCCAGCCCAGTTCAAAACATGCGCGAATCAGGCCCAAGTCTGGGTTTAAGAAAAAAGGGGCATTCGTATCAAATTCACAATATGGCTTTATTGGATCTTAAACCGTTACTGTGCGAATCAAGCGTGAGAAGAATCTGTTATTCGAAATCATCACAGGATACTGACTTTTCATCCCTTTTCCAGAATCGTGATGAATATGGAAACAAATCAATTGCAAGAACAAAAAATATGGCATTAATCAACTAATCAATACAAATTATTATAGAATCAATATTACAAGCGCATTGATTAATTTCCTAATTGCATAAACCCCAAATTCTATAAGGCCAAAGCAATTTACAGTGAAAAAGAGGAGAGCATAGACAATAGGAAGAAGTTTTACAGTAAAGTGAGAGGGAGGAGAAGATTACAGAAAAAAAATAGACAATAAGAAGAAAAAGATATAAATTAAAAAAAAAACTTATTACAGAGAGACAACTCCGATCTGTAACCACCGCGACCCGCCACCGACTTTGTTTTGGGAACCACCAATAACTTCCATCGTCATGCCAATATTTTCATCATTAATATAAAACCATTCAAAAAACCAAATTTCACAACTCCTTCAAATAAAAAATCAGGAGCAAACTAAACCTGCAAAAATAAAAGAATCAATATGCAGACCAATTCAAAATAACAATCATATAGCTATTTTTCTTTCACTTTTTTTTGTTGTTTGATGGTTTTGTTGTAGATTGTTGTTGAGAAAAAGGAAGAAGGAGAATTGAACCGACGACACTCCCTCCGCTCCCTCTAATTCCGACCGGCCTCCTCCATCGCTTCAGCCCACAACCGCCGCTTCCTCCACGATCTGCTACCGTAACCCCTCCGGTGATACTCTCCAGCCAACCTTGCAACCACCACTCCGAGGCGATTCCGGCCGGCCTGCTGCAATCTCTGACGCAACCCGCCGCCTCCAAACGATAACTAAACTTGACAGCCGCCAAGCTCCATCAAAAACCTTAGGTGCTCGTCATCCTTTCCTTTGGTCTTGAATTTGTGAGTTGGGAAGACACTTTGTTTGGGAGAGAAAGAAGACACATAAAAAATAGGTGATGGGATGAAGAAAATTGATTTTTCTGAAAAGAGATACATGGAGAGAGAAAGGGGAAAAGTGTTTGGTATTTTGAATCTCACACCTTATTCTTCAAACGTGTGTGGATGCCTGTGCTACAGATTTAATTATTTTTAATTTTTATTCCCACTACCACGTGTCGCTGTTTGAATGGCTATAACTTTGTTTGAAGGGAAGGTAACGGAACTCCTCAATGGACACTACCAGGCGCCTCCCATATGTATTGCACAACCTGATTTCTTTACTATTATTATTATTTTTCATTATTATTATTAATTAATTAATTGGGAAATTAAAGTTTATATTGGGCTTGGGCTATTGTTTCTATTCTTTTAAATTACACCCCTGTCTGTTAAGAATACACTCCTATGTTTTCTTAGTAATTATTTTAGAGATTTAGAAAGTAATTTAGCTTTAACTTAGTGCTAATCTTATGCTAATACCTTATATAATCAAATTAATTAATTCAAACATTCTATAAATAATAAGATATCCATCTTCGAGTAATTAAATCGTTTGACATATCGTCTATCAGTTTATTATTCAAAAATTAAACGATTTAAATCCACGCGACTAATCAAATACTTCTTCTGCGAGCGACACGTGGCGGATATCTGGCCATGTGATGAGGGAGCTATATCAGACTCCTTCGCCCCACTTATAAAAAATACCAAATTATTTTTTCGTAATAAATTAATTCAACATTAATTTTCGAAAAGGAATATGAATATATTTAAATTAACTGCGTAATTGGTTTAACAGACTCCGCTTATTCATAATCTTAGACTACGTATGCAGGAAATTCAAAATATATTTTGCAATCCCTAAAAAATACAAACAATATCGAAAACTACAAAATAAGACTATGATTCCTCCTAGAAGGATACGTAGGTATACGATCGAAAATCGTGGCGAGTCCCCCTAACTAAAATTCAAACCCTTTTTCCCCAATAATAATTAAAAACCAGTTGCAACAACTGACGTCTCTGCTGGGGACTCAACCCTAGGTTTAGAAGCCTTTCCTTTAAGTTTTAGGGTTTTTCTTATTTTTTAGGTTTTTCTTTATTTTGCTTTATTTATTTATTCATCTATTTTGCTTATTATTTTTTTATTATATTGTTATTTCTGTAGTGGGATTTAATTATTACAAAAAAATATTTTCAAAAAAAACTTAGAAAGAAGGTTCGTCTATTAACCAAAGGGTTACATCAACCCTATGAGTTTATGTGACGACTTTGCCTAGAGCGGTGAAATTCCACAAAAGGAATACTTCTCAAGATACACCAAAAACTCATGATGAGACCTTTCATGACCTAGAGACGAAAGTTTCGGTCTGTAAAGAGACTTCACTTAAGGGAGGCCCTTATGCATTTCCCTATAGTGTTATTCATGATACTATTAAGGGAGGCAAGCCTTATGAATGCCTCATCCACACTTTCAGAACCTTTGGTGAGTGCATCTTCGCCATTGCAGGGATCTGGAACTGGTATGGCAAATCTGGGTAGAAACCAACTCTTAGGAGGGACGTCCCATATAATGTCAAGCCTCACAAATGCTTCTACAACAATTTTGAGGCAACAAATGGGTGAGAGTAACCATGACATGGTGCAGATGTTGGTATAAACCTTGAGTACAATACTTAACCCTTTGATACAAAATACCACCCAGTCGAATCAGTAAATGGCAGCACAAATGACGCGCATGGCCGAATTTTTTAGGGTTCCTCAACCTATTCGGCACCCCCAAAGAGAGTTGATAAGAGAAAATCAGGGTGTGGTCTTAGAAGATGACATGACCATTAACCAAAATCCACAGCTAGTTGGGATAAACCATAGAGTGGAGGTCAAATAACCTAGGGTTGAAGTACCCAGAGTTACCCCACAAATCCTAAGAGTTGTCGAACAAGGTGCAGTTGTGGTAAATAGAAACCAAAATGTTGATGAGGTAATACAGCAGGTTCGACACCACAACCATGCAGTAGATAATAACTTAACAGCCATGGTCGAAAGAATCATGGCACAAAATGGAGTGAACATTGGCTTTCATAGGCTAAAATTTACATCTCCCCTGTCAAATTATATCTTGCAATCAGATTTACCCCCTAGGTGGAAAATTCTGAAGTTCACCAAGTTTTCAGGGGATACGACAGAATCCACTATCGAGCATGTGGAAAGGTATTTGATAGAGGCCGGAGAAATATCAAATAATGAGAATCTTAGGATTAAATATTTTCCAAGCTCCTTAACAAAAAATGCCTTTACTTGGTTTACCATACTCCCAGCCAATTCGATTTACAATTGGAATCAGTTAGAAAGATTGTTCCATGAACAATTCTATATGGGACAGACCAAAATAAGTTTGAAAGAACTGGCTAGTGAGAAGAGGAGATTCACTGAGCCAATTGATGAGTATCTGAACAGATTTCGACTGCTCAAAGCCAGATGCTTTACACAAGTGCATGAACATGAGTTGTTTGAAATGGATGCAGGAGGTCTAGATTATTCCATTAGGAAGAAATTAGATACCCAATACCTGAGAGATATGGACCAATTGGCTGATAGAGTTCGACAGGTGGAATGCCTTAAGGATGAAAAAGCTAAGGCGAATAAAAATCATCGAAGAGAAAGGGTAGCATATGTCGAAATGGATGATGACGATCTAGAGATATCTAATGACCCTATAATTGTCGAAGAGAGCAAGGTCGACCTAGTAGAATTAAAGCAAGGGCCACCATATTCTTGCAAACTGTTAACACCCTCAAATGGGAAGAATCCTACTGAATCTGAGAAGAATAGTGATAGGTTCCCAAAGAAAACATATAGTTTCAACGTCACAATATGTGACAAAATATTTTACTTGTTAGTTAAAGATGGCCAGATGATAGTGCCCCCAGGGGCAAAAATGCCTCCTTTAGATCAAAGGAAAAAGAGAGGTTTTTGTAAATATCATAAGTTTTTGGGCCATAAAACCTCACAATGTTTTCTTTTCAGGGATCTCGTTCAAGGCACAATAAAAGACGACAGACTCAAGTTTGATGACAAACCACCCGTGAAGATTGATGCAAACCCGTTGCAGGCAGATGCCCATTATTTTGAACCTTCATACATCAATATGGTCAAAGTCTCAGAAAACTTCATCAACAAACCTGTCTTTGGCAGTTTCACTGAGGACATTACCAAAAAAGCTGTCGAAGAGGTACAAAAAAAGGCTACTGAAGGCCTAAACAAGGGAGCCACTAAAGGTTCAAACAAAGTAATTACTAAAGGTTCCTACTTGGCTGTTGTCACAAGTTCGACAGAAAGCCTAGAGGCCAAGATGCATAAACTAAGTGTAGCTGGTAAGAACAACATGGAAATAAATATGGTTGAAGTGTCTGAACCTAAAGCTGCAGATTCAGGAGACAACATCAGACAAGAGGAAATCGACAAGCTTGCTTTCCCTAAGGAAAACAAAAATCTAGCAGATTTTCTACAGAGATGCCATAAAAAGAAGTCAGAAGTTATGCTATGTCCCAGATGCAGTTCTCTCTTTGACAAAAAAGCTACTAAACACATACAAGGTGTGCGTGCAGCAAAGAAAAAATGGGACAACATTGCCCAACCTAACATGGATCCTGAAGTAAGGTACGACCCTAGAAGAGGATACCAAAAGGGGCCAGTAAACCAGGTGAATAGGCCATCAACCTTCAAGCCTGCAATAAATGTTCCTGTGGACACTTGGTTGAAGACAACAAATAGAAAAAGGCCTAACGAGGGAAAATGGAAGATGTTCGATATGCCAAGAGGATCCTCTTTGGCCTACATAAAGGAATTTCAGTCAACAAAAACAAACAGGACTGCGCACGTGTTAAACAATTACAAAGGAAAGAACCCTATGACCTACTTCCAATGGAGAAGGTATCAGAGACGGCGAAAGGCTGAAAGAGAAGCCGCAGAAGAGCCCCAACCAGAAACAAGCACTAACATGATGCAAAGAAAAGAAAAGGCTAAACCAAGAATGCATTTGGAGAAAAATCTAATTGCTAGAAGGCTGGTATGGCCTGAACAAGATAAATCAAAAGAACAATCAGATTTTGGGTCTGATGCTACATTAGACATCATGGTAAAGGTGGTGTCTGTACTTCCCAGAGAATATGGCCAACTGGTCGAAGTCGAAGAGATCGAGTGGGAGGACGAACAAGAAATGGCCAATCATAGGGCAATATACTACTATGTTATGAACAATGGATGTGTAGAAGAGAAAAATGCCTTCTTCGAGCGTCCTACTGAGGCAATGAGGAATCACCTCAAACCCTTGTTCATAAGAGCAAAAATAGGGGAGGCGACCATCAATAAAGTCTTAGTTGATTGTGGGGCCACAATTAACATAATATCTCAATGTATGTTGAGAAAGTTGGGTAAGGGAGATGAAGACATCAAGCCCCATAACATGGTTTTATCAAACTATGAAGGTGGAATTGGGACTACCATGAGAGTAATCTAATTGGACCTCAAAGTGGGGACCATAGTTCGACCAACAATGTTTATGGTCATCTCAGTGAAACCCAACTACAACTTTCTCCTAGGCAGGGAGTGGATCCATGGCATATGAGTAGTTCCATCATCGATGCATCAGCGTGTTACAATCTGGAATCCCGACGACATAGTAGAAAACATTCAAGGTGATCAAAGCTACTATATGGTCGAAGTCAACAATGTCAACAGAACAAGCTTCGACAGAAATTTGGCTCACATAGGGCCATGTAATCCTCCAGACTTCGACTTGGCGCCAACACCCAACGCTTTTTGCTCCCTATACCTACACTCAGATCATGGATTCCAATGGGATAGGGAGGATTTGTCAAACATTGATTTCAGAGGAATTGATGATATACGGCTAACAGGCCGAGGAAGTGATTTCAGTGATCATGATTGAGTCACAAGAATTACAAAGAATTTTGACATATGTAGCCGAAAACAGAATGATAGCGGCCTTAGAGGCTGAAGTGAAGTATATGGCTGTCAAAGCCAATGAGCAAGTGCCACTTCCAAAAGGCCCTGGGAAAGATTTCAACCCAGAACCACCTGACTCAAAAGAGGAGGAAGTGCAAGGCCAGAGGCTAGATTCCATCTACGATGATGAGCCTTTGGGTTTCGAGAAGGATCCGCTGGCAAGCAATATAAAAATGCTAGTGCAAGATCCTCTTGAAGAGATAGACTTGGGAGAAGAAATGGTGAAT